TGTGAATGAAGCAAGATTTATTTACTTTTCATTATGCTTCTTAGAGATTTTGTGGGTTGAATGTGAAGCGGAAAATTCCTGTTATTGTGTGCACCTTCAGCATGCTTCATGAGCACATCCTGCAATATCCACAGGTACATTCTTGCATGCTTTTTGTTTTTATTGTTTATATTTCCATGGCCCTGATGCTTGTAAATTTCAATTCATAGAGTAGGACATAATGGGAGAAGGAATGACCAACATATTAGTGAGAATCAATCAAGGCTGATGAGTGAAATCTCCTCCTTCCACTAAGCCCTTCAATTATGTGATTAGGTCGTGCGGTGTTTTTAACTTGGCTCCAACTTGGCATGTTCTGGATAGGGTGGGTTTTGCCACCATTACAGAATGGAGTCCAATAAAAACCCAGTTGATTCAAGTGAAGAACACTGTAAGAAGCTTTCAGGGCACAACACTACTTCCTTATAATGACTGGTGCTTGGACATGTAAAAGGAAGAAAGATGAAGTTGAATTTTCTATTCAACTTCATCTTTCTTTTGGTCTTTTTCAGGGACATACTTGCACCTGGGACGAGTGTATGTCCGTTTGGATCAGCCTCTCGTGGCTATTGATGTGTATGAACAAGGCTTGAAAACATTTCCTGGGGAAGTGAAACTCATGCTCGCCATTGCAAGGTTAGGAATGTTATTTCCCTCCTCGTTGTTCAACTACCTCTCTTTCTATCCTGAGTCCTAAAAACTCCATTGCCTGACATGATAATTTTCCTGTTGCAGCCAGTAGTCAGACTCTGGATGACATCAGTTTCCCCTTGCTCTAGTCCAAAGTTGGGTATTGTCTGATAAACTGATTCTTGTTTCATTTTGAAAAAAATATGAAGCTTGGTTTGCATGTTTCAGAGATTTTATACAATACAAGCAAGTGAGTTTGTTTGCCCTTCAGGCACACAAACTTGCTATTGTTGTGCCTTCAGTGCTCCATTCCCAGGATTCCAGAGATTCATTCAATAATTTATTTTCAAAGTGGAAAAAATGTATTAAAAGCATGTGCCCATTGGAATGTGTACCAAGAAAGAACAAACTGATATTTTCATCAGAATAATTACTCCCATTGTTTCTTATGTGCCTAACTTCAAACCTTTTCATAATATGCTCTGAGGGGTCATATTTGAAAAGTAGGACATGTACTCAGCAATCGAACCAGTACTTCTGCACCAAGTTTTAATTTTCTTTAGTTCTCTCCTTCATTGAATCAGAAAAGTTTCCAGAAAATGCACCTTTTCCTAAAAATATGCCCTCAAGGGGTTCACCCAAAATATGACATTTTTAATGAAATCAATACTCAGAGAACTACGTGCATACCAAGTTTCAGCCTTATCAGTGTGCTCTTTTTGTTGGTGCAAAAATATGCTGATGCCACCAAAAGCTGTGCCCTAGGAGTATGCACCACAAAACTTGAAATTTTTTCTGAACTCACCATCACCTCAGTTATTGCTGTGCCAAATTTCACATTTCTATCTCTGCACAATTCAGTGGACAAAAAAAAGTTATTTGAAAACGTCATCCAACAAAAGTATGCCCCCAGGGCATGCATCTGAAAATTGACATTTTTCCTGAACTTTGTGTCTCAGTAGGTATGTTCATGTCAAGTTTCAGCTTTCCATGTCTCTCAGTTTGTCTGAAGCAATATATATCATTTGAAAACATATCGCCCCAAAATAGGTGCCCCCAGGGCATGTACCTCCAAATTCAGATTTTTTATGAACTCTGCATCCCAAAAGGTACATGTGTACCAAGTTTCAGATTTCTAACTTCTCTAGAACATGGTTAGAATTAGCGTCAGTCGGTCAGTCACTCAGTCACGATTTGTCTATATATATTAGAAATTGGATCTGAGGAGGTTGCTGTGCTTTAGAGAGACTGATCACAAAGGGTGGGGGTTAAGGGAAAAGGTTGGGGTTGAAATGGAGCCAGTAGTTGGTCATGAAAGTTCAGGTCCTTCCTCATGTAATGGATTTGGCACTATTTTTGAGAAAGTATTGTATATGACCTTCCATTCAAAGCCTGCTACAGGTTCATGTGGGGTGATGCAGACAAGTATACATAGGATGATTCAGCCTCCAGAATTTGAGGGGTTACAGCATTTAGATTCCTGAAAAATATGACTCAATGGAGGCTTTAAAAATGAATTAATATTGCCTAGCCATGTAACAATAGCTGTGGATGAATGCATGCATAGTAAGGAAAGTATTCCTACAGGCAAGTACCTGGGGAGGGAAGTACTAGTGTAAAGGCAGAGTGCTATTTCATGGAAAGGAATGTGGTGAGAATAATTTTGCTTGCTCATACACTCATCACCAACAAAAAAAAAGAGGATGACCAAGAAAGAGTTGAGTGATCTTGATGAAATTTGGGACACTAGCTCATACCAGCATACTATAAAATTTATTATAAGTTCAAGTGTGTGGGATGAATATTAATGGAGAAAGCATACCAATTAATCCAACTTCAATAGGGTCATTCCATCTCAACTCAGCCAGAGGCCAGAGCATGACCCCCTCCATAATTGACAAAAAAATTTTTTGTGTTACCCCTCATGGCCCAAAGTACAAATGCAAAATTTTAACTTTGGGTATGGAGTCGTTTTGGCACAATAATTAATTAAATTTTGTGAAATTTTGAAAAAGGGACACCTCTTCGTGTTCATGTGGGCTGAAAACTTTTCAGCCTAAATGAACACAGCAAACAACATTGTTCTTTAAAAATGTTAGACTTTCAAAGTTATTTCATATACTTTTTTCCTTGAGGCAATACTGAATGAAATAAAGCTAATTTGCAAAATGTCTACATCTTCATAAAACCCTATTATCATGTATGTTCTTGGAGTCAGTGGGAAAAGATCTAATGATGTGTGTCCACTTTTGTCCCAACCAATTCCACTTAAGGAGATACGATGGCTCAAAGTAGGCAAAAATCACAAATTTTGCAAAAACCACTGTTTTCAATTATATGGTGCCATTTTCTATGCAGCTCAACAAATTTGAAAAATTTGCAGAATGTCTATCATTTACTTGAGTAAAAGATAAGAGCAATTTCAAAGCCCACATATTTTTTTTTTAAAGCATACCATGCATTTTTATTCAGACCCCACCTCACAATTTCTACTGTTGTTTTTGAGGCCAAAGAACCATATAGTTTTGATTACTAGTTCTTCAATTTTTTTTCTCGTAACTGCAATCAAAGGAAAAATTTATGATGCATGTAAGCATCCCAGTTACCCTACATTGATGAAACATCCGAACAGCTTGTTGAAATTGCCTCCAGAGATCTCATCTTTGCACTGCCTTGTGATTGAACTTTCAACAACAGCCCAATAAGTAAGTGGCTTGAAGGAAGAAAGGAAACTGGTGCCTTCAATGGCGTCAACCCTTCACCCCTTTAATTCCAGCATTTAGCAAGTTTTCTCCAAATTGCTTCAACTCACAATCTTGAAACTTTGCTTGATTTTTTTGCACATCTGTAGGAGTGTTCATACCACATTTCATCAGTAAACACCATCTATGTAACCGTTTTGGGTGATTAGTATGACCCCTTGGCCACTATTGAAATTGGATTAATTGGCATGTTTTCTCCATTAATATTCATCCCACCTGAAATTCTAAACAACTTCATAGTATGCTAGTATGAAGCAGTGTCACAAATTTCATCAAGATCTTTCTTGGTCATGCTATTTTTTTGCCGATGAGCATACATA